TTTTTTAACGTTTATTCATTTTTGAGAGACAAAGAAAGACAGCATGAGCGGGGAAGGGGCAGAGAGAGGGAGACACAGAATCCAAAAGCAGGCTCCAGGCTCGTTGCTGACAGCACAGAGGCCGACATGGGGCTCGAACTCACGAATTGTGAGATCATGACGTGAGCCGGAGTCGGATGCTCAACCGACTGAGCCACCCAGGCGCCCCATGGCCTAGTTATTTTTAATATGCAAGTCTGAAAATGGTAGGGGAAGATGTGGGGACCCTTCATCATTGCTATTCTTCTAAAAATATATCCTTTACCTGGTTTTTTTTGTTTGTTTCAGAATGAGATTAGCCCTTGCCACCATTGGGGTATCTGTACTCATCTTCCTGCGCCCCTTGGAGTAGAAGGAGGCTGTGGCATGAAGCTACACGTCTGGAATAAAAGAACAGACAAGAGAAGGAAGAAGATGCGTGTCTTTTAACTGATAATAGCGTAATTAATAGCTCCTCCAAATCACTCTGATGAGCTATTTAAGCACCTTATCTGGAGATGACAGTTCCTATAATTTTCTCAAATAGTTCCTTTATTTACACCGTACTACTAATAAGAAAAACTAAAAAAAAAAAAGAAAGAAAAGAAAAAAATTCCTTTTGTAGTTTGTTTTAGGGAGAGCTCTAAATTGCATTTGGTAATAAATCTAAGTATGTCCACTTATTGAATGTAAATGCCACTGTAGATAATATATGTAATAATGATTCCCCAGAAGGCTAAAAAAAAAAAAAAAAAATCAGGATAAAAAAAATCGCTGAAAAGTATAAAAGCAAGTAGCTACCAAAATTTGTGGCTCAGTTTCTCACGAGATATTTGTTTTCTGCTAAGAGCACCACCACCACAACTCGGTAAGCAGTATTAAAAAACGAACCGACAGACATAAATTATGCCACATAATCTTGTCTTCAATCCTGAATCACGCCAGAATAAACAAAACACAGACTCAATCCTAATAATTCAAACAATCCTCAGTAATTCGCATACTGTACTAATTTGTCTCCACTCCTCCTTGGTAACTTCCCTGAAAACGGCTTCCATTGGGTGAAACCAATGCCTTCTTTGGCAGGAGCAACCTCAACAGCCTCCGCGTAGGCCAATTTCAAGTCCATTTTCCACAGCAGCGAGAGTCATCCTGTAAACACACCATCGGATCCCACCACTCCTCTGCACAGAATGCTTCCAGGCTCCAGACAGTCAGCACTCAGAGCGGAACCCCCCCATGGGTCACGGCCGCAAGCCCCACCATGCCTACCCCTGCTCGACCCTCGGCCTCAGCCTCCCGGTCTTCCCTCCTCTCCCTGAGAAGGGAGGCTCAGGGCTGCTTCAATCTCCCTTTGCCTGGATCTTTGCTTGACTCATGCTTCCTCCTCACATACGTCTCTGTGTCACTCCTCAGGGTGGCTTCCCTGGACCACCCGTCTGACTGACACCCTCCCCCTCTGCCCCATCACTGTCTGCTATCACCATGCTTAATCCTCTTGACCATACTCACTCACATTTGCCACTGCATGGCTACCGTCCTTCTTTCTTGCTAGGCTGCGTCCTATGCCAGCAGGGATATTGTCATCGGGTTTGCCACTGTGTCCCTAGGGCCCAGTAGTGACTGGGGAAGGGGAGGGGGAGGGCTCAAGGTTTATTGAATAAACGCTCAATGATTTTTCTCCCTTCTCTGCATGGGTGGAAAACTGGCCAAGTTCATAGGAACCCCATGTTGCCTCATACTGTTCTCTAGTTGTTGCATACAGACTTGGCAAGGCATTTTCTACACGCTTTACACCCCAGGAGTGACAGGGCCTAGCATGTTTTAACAACATAAATGATGCTTAAAATGTGCTAAATTTGGCTCAACTTTAAATCTTTGGCTGTTAGAAAAGGAACAAAGCAGTTGATTCCAACACAACACAGCTAGGATTTCAACATAAGCTCCACCTCAAATATGTGATAAAACTTAAAAAGACCAATGAGAAAAGAGGAAATAAAAAATACCTAACAAAAGCCATGTCTTCCTATGACAAATTTAAACATTTGTTTTAAACAATAATTTCAACTAACTTGGTTCCAGGTAGTTTTACACTGGCTCTTTGTAGGCTCCAGAATGAAGATAAAATTCAATATTGATTTTTAAAACCTTGTTTACATTATCATTAACTCACTACCACCATTAGCAAATAACCAATTAAATTCAAACAAAACACACTGTAGTAGAATTTCACGTTTGAGAACATTCAAACGTCTGAACAAGAAGTTATGGCTTCAGGGGTGCCTGGGTGGCTCAGTCAGTTAAACTCTTGGTTTTGGCTCAAGTCATGATCTCGTGATTTGTGAGTTCGAGCCCCACACTGGGCTCCATGCTGATAGTGCAGAGGCTGCTTGGGATTCTCTCTCTCTCTCTCTCTCTCTCTCTCTCTCTCTCTTCCCCTACCCTGCTTATGCTCATGCTCTCTCTTTCTCTTTCAAAGTAAATAAACTTAAAAAAAAAAAAAAAGTTATGGCTTCACAGATCACAAGAGAATTCCCAAAGTATCTGCATTTATTCATTGAATAAATAAGACCAGAAAGTGAGGATAAGGCAATGTGCTAGGCACTGTGATTTGCACATTTTGGGCCCTATTAAAAATATCCACATTATAGTAATTTAAAAACTATAGCAATGGTCCTACTGTAACAAGTACTTGGCTAGGCTAACGACCAAGTCAATCACATCTTTTTCAAAGTACAACAATTTAAAGCAAAGACAGCCTTGCCTGACAGTTACAGAAATTAAAATGCTCCAGGAAGTTTGGCAATTTATTCTGAGAGTGAAAATGCTTTCAAAAACATTTTGCAGCATATAACCACGTCCAAATGATACATCCACTCCTGTGCAGGAGTCTATGTGCCGCTGTTCAAGTTTCCTGCTGTCATTAAAAACCACTTAACCATGTTATTATTCCAGGGTCATGTTATTTCTTTTTACTACTTAATAGTATTAGCTCTATGAAAGATTTTAATTCATATAAAAAGGTTGGTGATTGGAACATGGATTATTCTCCCCATCTATGCTTTGACAAATACTAGCAAACGTACTCTACCTTGAAGAACAGATTCATGAAGACCTCAAGCATCATCACCATCCAACAAGACAAGACAAAGTAAGCATAATGCAAAGTAATAGTTACAGGCCCTTTACTTTTTTGATCTAAGGATCAACCTAACCCAAACTGTTTGCCTGCGTTGGTAACTGACGCCCTGCAACAGGGTAAGTACGCCTGTAGAATGGCAGGTTCCACGTGTATCACAGAACCGCAGCAAATGCCCAGGCAGAGCAAGCAATGATGTTCTTTTTTGCTGTCCTTAAAACACCAGGTTTTGCAGAAAATAACCAGCAGATAAGGACTTGCAGGACATCACCGAGGAGAGAACTTATGGAACCCACAGACTGTGCACAGACACCTTGTTCTGTGGCAGCAGGTTAGACCTATCTATCCTTCAAGGAAAGCATATTCCAGGAAATAAGCACCAACTGGTAGTGAACGCTGTCAGGTTTGAAGCATTTACAAAAGTAAGTACATTGAAAATTGTGCTGTCTTTACTGTAACATGTAGTCCAAAAGTAAATAATCCTAGGTCCTCCATGTGACCTCTGTCCAAACTCAGAACACAAGACCACTGCCATTATTTCTATGCCATATCTTGTTTGAATTTGCTTCTGACACTTGAGTAGTTGCAAACTAGATTATAAGAGTATAATTTGTATCGAGGGTTGGCAAGAGTCCTAAAAAAAAAAACAAAAAAACCCCAAAAAAACAAAAACTAAAACTATCCAATGCTTGCCTGCAGGTACCAACACTTTAAATAGTCTGATTCCCATAATGAAAGTCGGATATTCGTCATTTTCAAATAACTTTCAGTGCGGAAGAATTCTGAATAGGAAAAAGAATCCACACACACATATGAAACATCATTTCTTCCTGTCACTCTTTTTTCTGCAGACTTGGGGAAGGACAATGTTTCCGTTTGGGTTAGCGCCTGTCCCAGCAGGTTTTACCAGGTTGAAAGACAGGCAGCTGCGGTCGGCCAATGCCAGTTCTGGCTGCGTCTTTAATCTTTCACAAGATTTCATCCCATCCTAAGAATATGAAGGGATCTTCAATGCTGAAGAACCAAGTTTCAACAGCGATCCCATTCCCAGTTTTATAAGGTGAAATTTCACAGGATTCGGGTTTAGCCCATTTGTCAGTTCTCTATGGACAGCTAGAAAAATCCATCTTGATTTATAAACAAAGTAAAGGACACGGGCCAGGTCTTCAGGATTCCAAGTACGTGTGCAAGGACAACGCGCTTGCTGGTAGCCTAAACGTGCATGATGGCACAAACCGGTGTTTATTTTCTGGAGACCTGTCATCAACACTCAAGCTACCAAACCAATGATAAAATCCCACTTCCTGTGCAGAGACGTCTGAACGAAAATCTTTGGAAATTGTCAAAGGACACGAAGCCATATTCAAAGTGGTAAAGAGCGACTTCAATTCAGCACTCGTAAAGCGGAAGGAAAGGAGGAGTTTGATGAAGCCGACAAGGAGGGCCATGGGTTCCCCAGGTTATGAGGCCCCGGTTTGCAGTTCCATAAAATGAGCCACTTAGTGTACCTCAAGGCCAAACGGCACCGTGGGGTTTCCAGGAGATCCAGCTATTTAACAACTGTTTAGTCATCAAGCAAGACGAGCTGCCTTTTTAAAAAAGGCACCCAAAAGCAACAGAAGGAAGTCAAGGTGAGTGCGTCACCTGCCCCAAAGCAAGTAACCAAGGTCTAGCGGGATCTCTGGGCCCCGAAAGGCCTGCTCAGGAGGTGCTGCTGGAGCCTCCTTCCACCTGGTTCTGCGCCCGGGGGGCCCGCCCAGGGCTGGCACGCGCAGTGGGCTCCGCCGAGCAAGGCTGCGTCTCCCGCCCCCCTCCCCGCCCACCACCTCCCCGGCCCACTTACTGTTGCTGGACTTGAGGTCCCGGTGCAGGATGGACACGACGGCCTCCTCGTGCAGGTAGAGCATGCCCCGCGCGATCTGCACAGCCCAGTTGACCAGCACGTGCGGGGGGATGCGGCGCGCGCGGCGCGCACCGGGCGCGCGCGGGTCCGGGGCGGCGTTGGCGGCGGCCAGCGCGCGGTTGAGCGCTCCGCCGCGGGCGAACTCGAGCACCAGGCAGAGGTGCGGCTGCTGCAGGCACACACCGCGCAGCTCGATGATGTTGGGGTGCCGCAGCATGGCGAAGAGCCTCGCCTCCCGCCGCACGCTCTCGGC